GATTTATGAAGCTGGAATGTGACGTCAGCGTTTCCCGTAGCGCCACAGAGCATCTTACCGCCATGCCTGGCTGGCAAAAACAGCGACGCCCTCTGGTATCTGCAGATGTTCCTGTGCAAGAACCGTTTCGCTAGTTCAGTAAGCAGTGTATCTGATCCACACTCCGGCCCAGGCGTCTCGTAATTTCCGAGACTGACCGAAGTGCGGACAGTTCACCTCAACAGTCTCTGCCGCTCTTCAAAACAAGAAAGCGTGTCCCAAGGGACTCGGACCCGAGAAAGAACGCGCTTGCAAGGGCTAGCAGCATATGCAAAAGACAGAGCTGTCCTCTCGTCAGAGAGGGCGCCACACAAAAATAAGACCGTAAGTGTCAAACGGTAATAATTAATATCTGGTCACGAGCCCCATGACTTACTGACTCACCGTCAGTCGCAATGTGACTTAGACTTTGACAGAGCTGGCGAAGGCCAGCAGCGATTATAAACGACAGACCCGTCCTCTCGTCAGAGAGGGCGCCCCACACCAACAAACCCTCAACAGTCTGTCAGTAATAAAAATCTGGACTTGGACCCCAGATGGGGGCCTGACACCAAGAAAGACTGGCCGACTAACCGGCGGCCGTAACATAACTTTGACTTTAACTTGAATTGAGAGTTGTAGCTGTGGCAGGGGACAGTTCGAGAACCCAGAGGAAGGGGAACGTCTGCTGTTGGAAGCCGCTACCAAGCAAAGACGAGTAAAGACTGAGAAGACTTTATGTGTGCTGTAGTTACAGTAGTCTTTGGAGTGTGTTACTCAGTGAGACTGTCAGTAATTACGAGTGTAAGAGTCCAATAAATCCCATTGCCAATCCAAACCTCGTCCCTGCTCATAACGCAGCACGTGACAATATTCCACGTACCTGATATAAACGCTGGAGTAACGGCTCCGACGTATTTGTGACACAGATGCCAGCATAAGGCTGTATGGCCGTGTTCATACGTTGGTTGCCGTGGAGACGAGGAACTGGAGAAGGAAGCATTTCATCTCCCTGTAATCACATGCGGGCTGTTTTCAAAATGAAGCGGGCTCTCCCGTTACTTCTTGCCACTCCGTGGCGTAGATAGTTTATGGGCACCACAAACACACCAAACGTTACACATTTCTGAATCATTGCTCTTAATCTCTGCAGGAGAAAATAAACCTTCGGAACAGATCTGTACAACTGAAGACGAAATATTGTTGTCCTGTGTGTAAAAGTACGTAAATCCCCTGCACTTAATTAAGCATGTAGCCATGAAGACACGTGGAAGTGAAGCATTTGTTGACCCGAATACATTTGGAATTACTGGGTTTTTGGACTCTTTCCATCGTCCGGAATTCTAGGTAATAGAGGACACGACGTTTCGGAAACTGGATGTGTTTCCGTCTTCATGTGAGAAAGGAAGACACCTACTCAGTTGGGCCCCTTACAAAGCTCTAGTCTCAGTCACTGGTCCAGTGTCTCCCCCCCCCAAAAAAAGAACACACGTATAGAGTCCAGACAATAACATGTAGGCCTCTTACAGCCTCTTGATTGGATCATGGGAACGAATAAGTGCGGTTCGGTTGGGCTGTGTGGGACGGGAAGCCCACACTCGGGCTACCCTCTGATCGAACCCACATCCGGCAGCCACATGCGGGTCCTCACGGCGTACAGGCTCAGCTGCAGGTCGGCAACCGACACAGATCACAGAGTGTGCTAACGCTATGATGCAGGGCACACTGAAACATCGATACGTGCTCAGCAGGTCAAGAAGTTCCCTGTTCGATCCAGTTCCCATTTTCACACAACTCCTCCGGTATCAATTTTATTATCATCATCCCATTTGCGTCTTCTTTCCCCTTTCATTGGAGTTTCTAGGCCAAAATTCTGTGGATATCGTGATCCTCCACGAAATCGATATAGCGACGGGCTACGGGCTGGACTGCCCGGGTTCGGTTCTAGGCATGGCAAGACTCTTTCTTCACAGCGTCCACCCGGGGTCGGGAGCTCACGACCTCCATCTAGTGAAGAGGTCGAAAATGGTGGAGCTCTACCTCCACCCCCATACGCCTTTATGCATAATTAAGCGCAGGGACACCTTTACTTCTATCTTACTGCTCCAGAATATGCGACAAGCACTTTTTTTCTAATATCGACGTGGGCCAAGTTCACAAACGAAGCAACTTGACTGTGACAGCAGCACCGGGCGAGATGGCGTAGCGGTGGTGCTCTACACTCATATTAGCGATGTGTCGGTTCGAATCTCGGTCAGGACACCGGCCATCCTCAGTGAGGTTTATCGTGGGTTTTCTCAGTCCAAAGTCCGGTATAGCACCTCGAGTAGGTTACGACCGCTCTTCCAAATGCTTTCCAGTTCATTAACATCCGTTATCCTTTCATTTGAGGCTACAGAGCAAGTCACATGATAGGGACAATGGTCAGTATGACGATGTTGGCTGCACTGCCTCGCTCGGACAGTTGTTGGTAACACCCCCTCCGCCCCGCTAAATCACACCCGGTGACACGCGTCCTTTACAGTATTTTTGTGTCGCAAACGTGAACCCGTTTACGCAGTACCGCGTTTCGTAACGCAGACATCGGCATCACGCCAACCGGAACACACATTGGCGCGCCATCCCCCTGCCTTCGGCGGTAACAACCTCTCGCGCCTCAGTTGAACCTCGGCTGGGACAGTACGCTGGAATAGGCCACAGCACTTCCGGTTCATCATTCGTTAAGCTGCATATCGTCCGACGCTATGAAATCTGCAATAATGAAAGAGTTGTTGAATGAGCTAAAATAAAGAAAAACCGGAATTGCGCACGTCTTCACATACTCAAGCCCGGTAAATATAGTGATCCATCACACATCTACACAATCGGCTCACAGATGGCGGTGAGGTTGTCAGCCCTTTAACCCCCAGGAAGATGTCCTGGTACTCATTTCTGTTAGAGGCTGAGTCGACCACAGGGCCACAGTGCAGCTCGAAGGATTAGGTCAATTGAAAAACCCAATTATCTCATCGGTAATCGAACCTACGACCCCACTGTATACCTAATATTAATAAAAAACTAATGTTGTTTTATTTAATTGTTCATGTGTCCTGAATACTGTAGCGTGATCAATAAAAATACTCTTAAAGGACCTAAACATAAGTTTGTAAGCAATATGTCTCCCCCCCCCCCGTCATGACATTATAGGGTTTATGTAATCCCCGTAATAGCATCCAACGAACAGTCCGATCTGGAGGTCACTCCATTTCACGCATTCCAGGGTTCCAACATGGCCGTTCAGCGTATAGCAATAGGTTCCATGAAGCTACGCTGTGAAAGAGCGAACAAACGTGACTTCAACTGAGAAATTTGTGTGCTGGAAATTACCAGTATGGTGTATATTTTCGCTTAGGATTTTTCGTGGCTGTACTCAGTCCCTCCACGTATATGCGGACAGTACAACATTAAATCAGGCTACGATCGATTCCTTCCACACCTTTTGCAATTCATCGACGATCAGTCATCTTACAATACCACGCTGTACCACGCGAACTATACCGACCGAGCGACCGCCGCTTGTCGGCGAAGTTAGTGCCAACTTTTTCGGATAGAGGGTGTCGCGTGGTCAGCGCAACGAATCCGCACGGCCTTTACTTTCGGTTTTCTAGACCGGAGCCGCTATTTCCTTGAAATAGCTCCTCAATTATCCTCACGAGGCTGGGTGGACTCCGTTCCAGACCCAACCCTTCTCAGAAAATCTGGTAGCGCCGGGAATCGAACCCGGACCTCTGGATCTGTAGCCAGAAACTCTGACCACTAGACACAGCGTCGTTAATTTCTTTTTTGGGGGGGGGATCTTGCGACGCTCTCCTTATCCAGACTGTACACTCTCACACGGAAGAGTGACTGATGAGTGGCGAAGCGCTGTGAGGTTCAATCCTGGCAGTCTCCTGGAGGGAGCGATGAAACCCATGAAGACTTCAGTCACGATAGGCGATAACGCGACTGAGACTCGAAAGGGGCACCTCTCGAATGCAAGCAGACAGACGGGGCTGAACTCGAAGCGGGAGCTCCAAGCGCCGGAACTGGCCGCCCAAAACTGGGGCACAGGGCAGCCCGTGCCGTGTGCCAGTTTCTCTGCATTCTGCGCTGCTCGGCTCGGGTCCACGGTTGGATGAGGCCCAGGGCCGCGCTGATTAACGTCGTATCAAGGACAGCTCTCCACTTTCTTCCGCAGTCTTCACTGTCTCCCTGGGCGGCTTTCCAAACTGTCGCGACCTGTGGCCGGGTTCTCAACAATTACTTCACGTAGAGCTGTATCCAGACACAGATCGGCAAATCGGTAGCAATTTCTTATAGGTGCGTTCGGAAAATGTGTCTGCAGCCGGCGAAGAAAATTTAGCGAATTTTTCTGTCTCACAAGTGTACAGGAACTCATGAACCACTGGAGACGGAATTGTGAAATTGTGTACAGAGGTACAGCTTACACATGCCTACATAATTCTGCTTTACACTATGTGTATACTCGTATATCCAACAATTAAAAAGTGAGCCGGGTTAGCTCAGTCGGTATAGTGTCTAGGCTATGGGCTGGACGCCCAAGGAGCCGAGTTCGATTCCCGGCAGAGGCAAAAGATTTTTCTCTTCTATATAACTCGCAGACCAGCTGTGAGGCCTTCCCAGCAGGGGGCAGGGGGGCTGCTTCTCCTTGGGGTAAAGCAGCCAGGTCGTGTAGCTGAACACTCACCTCCATGTGCCGAGGTTTGGAATGGTAGAACTATACCTCAATTCCCCCATAAGTATGCTACTTAGTTGATTATGGCAAGGGATAACTCTACTTTTGCCTTTGCGGCAGTTAAAAACATGGCGACGATGCTAATGTCTGTAAGAGCTATGAGCATGCGCAAAGCAGTGCGAATCTCTGTAAGAGCTACGAGCATGCGCAAAGCAAAGTGTATTGCGGTGCGGTATAGATGAACACGTTTCTGATGTTGATGTTGCAGGGTACCGCTGCTTCAAGGCCGTCATGTTCCTGACGGGGTTTATCTTCGGGTCCATCATCGTGTACCTCATTTGCCTGCAGGAGAAGCTGATGCCTGTGTACGGGAACGCAGGTACGGTACTTCCCCCCAGTGTACGCCGTCGGACAAACCGTGCTCACAGTAGTCTTCATGTTACGTCACCGCTAGACATTTTCAACATATGGTAGGAGTCAAAATCTCCATACCGGAGCTGTGAACACACAGGGCGTTTCTTCCGTATGATTGCCCACTCAAAGTATGGCGCGCCCTAGAGACATTTTAGGCGAACAATAACTTGAGGCATGGCCATTTTGCTAAACCATGAGCATATTTCCAGTATATTCCCACTTCTAACAACTGCCGTAGAGAAGTACCCAACATAGAACGGTTCCGGTTTCTCTTAATATCAGTTTTCTTGTGTCGTCACGTGTCAGTTGTCTTCAGAAGATGAATAAGTTTCCTGCAGAACTCACTCACGTGAGACGTGATGTTCTCACGGCGGTCACCGTTGAGATTTGCAAGAGCACTGGGAATGTCCAGAGGCAGGCGAAATGAAGGCGGAAGCCCTCCAGCTGCATCTGCTTCAGAAATTCCTTGCGAGAAACAAGTTTATGAGCGTGGTCACTGGTTCATGACAATACACTCACCGACCTGCCATTACCGTCTCACCGTGTGAATCTCCCCTCTTTCTCAGCCATAAAGTGGTTCATAACCTTCACATTTTCCGCCTTGCGAATCCCCGGTCTTTTCTATGGACAAGTTAAATTAATTTCTTGGTTTCGATGTTCTCATAGCCGTGACTGCGAAAGAAAAACATCTTCTGTGATGTAACACTGCGTAGTCCGACGAAAGCTCACCGATGTTTCGGAGGAGCATAGTGTCACAATTTTAGTGACAATATGGATTTTGGATTGATGTTCAGATTTATTGGGCCCCTTGATATAGCGCGTGGATACACTTTACAACACACATACTAGTTTCCACAGTCACGTCCTCACTAGCCGTTCCTTAGCAGCGACTTCAAACGGCGGACGTTGCCCTTCCTCTGGCTTCCCAAACTGTCACCGGCCTCAGCCACCAGCTTCTCACATCAACAGCTCACAACGATTGAACCGCAGAAGACCTCTAACTCGCTCACTGACCAACTGCAACAGATAACTGGCCCTACTTATAACGTCGCGGCACGGACCGCGTAGAAAACGCCGTTGCTGTTGCAGTGAAATTGTTTCCGTAGAAGCATGGTTGTTTTCGGAGCCGTTACTTAGCAACGGCTATTTTTAGATGCCTAATTCGCGGTCGTTTCGTAGTAGCGGGTTTACATGCCACAATACTATCTTCATTTTAAAGCGGACGAGTAGGCCAAGGAAGAAACCTTCCAAATAAATAGCAACACTTGCCTTTGCCTTGTGAAAGAGTGGTCGGTATCCATTAGATAGGAGGCTGGATGGGCCCCTAGCTGCTCTGGAAGCTATGGGCGAAAGAAAAGCGTGTGGCCCCGCCGAAAACTGAATCCTGGTCGTCTAGTCCGCAGCCAGTCCCTATACGTCCACTGACTCACCTACCTCTGCTCCTCAGTATTGTAGAGTGTAGAGCCTTTACTAAGAAACGACCGCGAGATAAGCAAATATACCGGAGCCGTTTCTATCCAACGGCTCGGTAAACACGTTCCCGCGGCAACGGATACGCATACAAGAATATATGTACTGTTGGAAACGGTGAGACTGTTATAATTACTGTGTTAAAATCCGTTACCAGGAAATGTCTAGCGGAGACAGAAGATTTTATATGTGCTGAAGTTACAGTGACTGCGCTGACGAGGATCAGCAGCAATTCTAAACTACAGACTCGTCCTCTCGTCGTCAGAGAGAGAGAGAGCCCCACATCAACAAACCCGCAACTGTCACACAGTAATAAAAATCTGGTCTAAGTCCCAGATGGGTGCTTTATTCCAAGACAGACTGGTCGACTGACCGTCGGTAGTAACGTAAGACTCGACTCGAAGAACAGTTCAGTTAGAAGGGAGCAGCCGTTCAGAGAGGACTTGAGCCCAGAAGCAGAGGAATAGGCATTCTTAGAAGCAGTTACCAAGAAACGTCTAGTGAAGACATTGCGGGCTGGAAAAGGCTTAGCGTGTGGAAAGTAGAGATAGGGCTATAATTAAATGTAATTGCAAGTTAAGTGTATAGTGTTCAATAGACCCAATATCCAATCGAAACCCACGACAGTGTGAAGACTGTTGTGAGCCGAACTGGGCACTGACTCTTGTGAGCCCCCGTTTCCTGTCCAGAGAAGTGAGTGGGTGCTGTGCAATTGCAGGGGTGGCGCTGGGGGCTGGCCTGCTGTTCGGCCTGATCACGATGTTGGTACAGTACGTGGGGCTCTTCATGACGGGGTTCCACACCGGCCTGTTCTCCGGGGTCGTCGCCCTGGCCACGGCTGAACAGTTCCGGTGGCAGCCAACCACAGTGTGGACCAGTGCCGCCGTGCTACTCGGCGCCGGCCTCCTGGCTGCCGTCCTCAACCTCTACTGGCAGAAAGGTAAGTTGGCGGGTGCATGCGTCCAGGAGAACGCTCGCCAAACCGAACCCTGTAGCGGCTTCCGTGTCCCGCACCCAAAGCAGCGCGTCATGACCCCCTTTCAACAATCCCAACAGTACCAGAGGAGTGAAATTAACTTATCGTTATGTAACATCCTTCATCTCGAACTCAGTTCAGCCCTTGTTCCGGAAGTGTCGTCACTGTTGTGCTGTCCCATCACAGTAAGGTCATGTGAGAGCTGGAGTGTACTATGTCCATCAACACCAATTTTCGGCAAACCAGGTTTGAAGTTGGGGAACCAACTGCAATTTAAATGCGACTTAGGGCGAAACAGGACCACCTCTATGGTCTAGTGGGCAGAGTTCCTGGCTACAGGTCCAGAAATCCCGGGTTCGATTTCCAGCGCTACCAGATTTTCTGAGAAGTAGTGGGTATGTAACCGGGTCCACTCAGCCTCGTGAGGATAATTGAGGAGCCATTTCAAGGAAAAGTAGCGGTTCCGGGCTAGAAACCCGAGATTAACGGCCGTGGGAATTCGTTGCGCTGACCACGCGACACCCTCTATCCGCTAAAGTTGGTACTAACTTCTCCGACAAGCGGCGGTCGCTCGGTCGGTATAGTTCGCTTGCGGACTACAGGCCACGGAGTTTTGTTTTATGGCGAAACACGGTTCGAAATACCAGACTCCAGTGCTCAGGCGACGAGATGTGTACAGTAGCAACTGCAAGAAATACCCAATATTGGTACACTCCAGACTCATATTCGAGAGGTGTTCGGTTCAAATCTCAGCCGGGTCACCGGTTATCCTGAGGGTTTTCGTGGTTTTTCACCAGTCCCTCCAGGCAAAGCCGGCCCATGATGACCGCTTCTTTCCAAATCCTTTCCAATTCACTGTTCATCAGTCTGCCCTGCCAGAGTCGAGAGACCCCGCAGACAGCTAAACTCTGTGTGTTGCTGCAGGTCTGACAGTGCTGGGGACCAGTGTGTACGGAGGTGCCATCATGGCGGGTTCGCTGGACTACTTCGTGGAGAAGTTCCTCATGGTCAAGTGGGTGTGGGACAGAGTAGCCCTGAAGCCCAGCCACGCACCTTGCTGGTTCGGCTGGCTCATTCTCGCTGTGTGGCCACTCATGGTCGTCGTGGGCATCAGCACACAGTGGGCAGTCACTGGCCGAGGGATTCACCACCAAGAGCGTGAGTGGCCAGTGCTTACACTGATTTTACTCATACTCCGGACAGGATACATTTTTTTAATAATTTCAAATTTTGGTTTTAGTATTTGCTAAATACTTTCTTATTTTAAGAACTGCGGATGGCACGCGGTAGCGTAGTAGGTTGAGGTACTATGCTACAAGCCGGAAGGTAACGGGCTCAATTCCCGATGAAGTCACTGGATTGTTCAATTGACCTAATCCTTCCAGCCGCACTATAGCCCTGGGGTCGACTCAGCCTCTAACAGAAATTAGTACCAGGAATATTCCGGGGGGTAAAGGACGGCCGGTGCGTAAGGCTGACAGCCTCAACGCCATCTGTCACGAAAATGCGGGAAGCCTCGACGTCTCACGATCCTATGAGTTTCCACGGCCTGTTACAGGGGATAGCTTTACCATTCTGAACGTGAAAATGCACATGCAGAAAAGGCAGAAATTTAATATAAAGCAGTAATGCGTGCTGCATCAAACTGTGTTTCAAAATTACGACAGCCATGTCTTTCGTTCCCTCTCCCATTTGTGGGTATGGGAGGTAACACGGACGGACAGGCAAGCGGAAACGGCGCATCTAATACGGGTTTCGAAACGTGGCTAAGAAATATATGAATTAAGTGCGATAACAACAGATGAACTGCAGAGACTCGACGTCCGGTTCGTACCGCTCCTGTCCCACAGCGGGGCCTGTTGGCTGCAAGTGAGGACTTCGCGTGCCCTCGCAACTTCGCCCCACAGCACATATCTTCATGTGTTCCCTGCGGGACTGATGACTAGGAACAGGGCCGGTACTGTCGTCATGACAAGCAGCTACGGCACTCACGCGGGGAACCAGAACACGTCTGTCTTCAGGAATATAACGCAGAATATTGTGGTGAAAGTCGACGTTTCGAAGAAACATATCACCTCCATCTTGAAGCTCTGGTTGCAGGCTTCTTTACGCTGATCTCTTGCTTGGTTTGAGGCGAAATGTTCCCCTGGAACGTCGGCTGACTTTCAACTAACTACATAGCTATATATCCCAGAAGACAGAAATCTTCAGTAAATAGAAGAATAGCAGCTTTCAAAACCAAGGAAAAGATCACGATAGGCTGCGTTCAAATGGACCCGAGGTCTACACAGCCTCCTATCTAATACGTACGGGTCAAATGAAACCGGAGCGTAAAGCTGGCCAGGGTCCTCCACCTAATACCGTTAATAATGCGCAGTCGGCTGGTCAGTCAGTGTGTGTGTCACGCAAGACTTAACTTCTGGTTCAAGGATTATAGAGTTAAGTCACAATTATAAACAGGTCGCTGAAACTTCCGTGGTCTTTCTCAGCCTCTCGCGCCCAGACATGTCTTAGGATTCCCCGCACGGTATTGGATACAATTTCTGCTTCCTATTTGAAGATCCAGGATTCAAATCCCAGTGCAATTTCAGAAGTGAAAACAATGTCATTAAATAACCACACGAGCAATAACCTGCCAGTGACACATGGCGAGAGTTCGTGTGACCTGCGTTAAGTGGGTTACTGGGGCAGAGTCCGGACTGGTTCCTGCAAGCCGCGCACTTCGTTTGGGACTGATAACAGAGTTAACAGCAGTGCTCCAAGTCCATGCCGTATTACACGAGACTGCTCAAAAGACCAGGATAACGAAGGGCTACGGGCTGGACGGCCGAGGAATTGGGGTTCCATTCCCGGAAGGGGCAGGAAAGTTTTCTCCACAACTTTCAGATCGGCTCTGAAGTACATCCAACCTCCTATCCAGGGGATGCCAGGTGTAAAGCGGCTGGGTCATGGCCACTCACTTTAATCTAGTGCCGACCTTACGAATGCGCGGAGTTAAACATCAACGCCCCATTCTTCTTCATGACGTGGAACTTGATTAGTTAAGCACAGGATCAACTTCGCCTTTTTACCTACCCACCGACCTACCTATCTATCTATGGCTCTAAAGCCCTTTACTGGACCTTGGCCGCTTTTTCAGTTTCTTGATATTTTAAATAGACGACAGGACCACTCGTACAGGGGATCAGCCCGCCTCAAGGCCGCTACCTGAACACAGAGTAGCACAAACAGAATAAACACAGACATATCCATGCCTCAAGTGGGATTCGAACCCACGATCCCAGTGCTTGGGCGGGCGAAGACACTTCATGCCTTAGACCGCGCGGCCACTGTGATGGGCCTTTACCTACTCAAGCAGTCCACTTAAGGTAAAGTTGTCGCTGTGCTTAACTAATTAAGCACTACAACTTGAAGGCGCAGGGGACATCGATGTATAGATCCACATTTTCTTGACCTCGGCACTAGTTGGAGGTGAGCAGTCAGCTTCACGCCCCTACCGCTTTACCTCCGGGGAAAGAATCCCAGGTACCCATTGAATAGGAGGCTGGGTGGCGTGGAGAAGAGAAAGTTCTTGAACCTCTCTGACCCCAGTCGCTATACCGACTGCGCTATCCCGAAGTCCAATTAATAATTTTTATCTCAAAGAAAAAAGGTCTCCGCTGAAGAGGCACTAGAAGGTACATTTCATTTTTATGTGGCACCTGTGTGCTATTTTGGCATGCGCACGGGAACGAGGGTAGGTTGGACAGCGCTTTCGATGGCGTGAATTTAACAAGCATTCCGGAGTGTCTCAAAATAAGTGAGCTTCACGATTATGTTATATGAGACACGATCTGTTTTTATTCTTACAACTTTTACTGAAGAAGCCCTCTTCACAAGTACCGAAGATGTATTTAGGCCGTTACGTGACGATGTGCATCTCAATGTGAAAAGCGCAAATGATAACCCTCATGTAACTGTAGTGTAGAGCGGCCTCCGTAGTCTAGGGGTAACGTTCCCACCTCATGACTCAAGGTACGCGGCGGAGGTCGTGGAATTTTTAAGGGCGGAAAAATTCAGGGAACAAGTCCTCCGGGACGGACTTTAAGCCGTGGGTTCCGTGTCGTAGATTTACGGCACGTAAAAGATCCTCATGTCTCTAGGAGACCTCTAAGCAAAATTAGGTAAAAAGTTTCCCGCCCAAGTAGTTTCCAATGCCTCCGATAGATGGGGGAAGTATCGGGTACCACTGCCAGTAGAGGGACTGAACTCGCCGGCTGAACGGGGCCGATAGCGAGCACCAGTACCGGAAGGGTATGGCGACTGGGAGACTATCAAAGGGGGACGTACAATAGATCAACAACTGGTCGCGGTGCATGGGGAAACCCACCCCCTCCAATAATGAATGAATGAACTGTAGTGTACATCAAGTTCTTGAAATTCAAAGACGCGAAAGTTATCTGGGTCCTTACGCAAGTTTGTTCTTAAAATGAGGTAAAATAAATTGAACTCGTATCACAGAACTTATGCATATCAAGTTTCATCAAAATTGCTTAGTCAAATACTCGAAAGATGGGTGCAAAACTGGATTTTGGCTCTTAAGATGAACCACACCAATTCAAAATTAGGCCTTGCCATAACTCAGGCGGTTAGTCGCCGGCTTCCCACCGCGGAGGCCCGGGTTCGAGCTCAGGTCAAGAACATATGGGATTTCTGGTGGACAATGTGGCAGGTTTTCGCCTAGCACTTCAGTTTCCCATGCCAATTCTCATTCCACAGACTGCTCCACACACTCATCTATCATCCGGGGCTGGTACAGTAGGCCAGTTAGTGGCCGACGTACCAAGTAGACTCAGTTTCACCCCACCCCAAGAAAATAAAAAAGGGCTTCGCAAAATTTTGTTTAAGTCTGTGGCACCAAGCTCCCTCCAGATCAGTACGACAGTTCTGCCGCTGTTCCTTGCGGACGGATCATGAAGCAGGCAGCTGTTTTTTATTATTATTTTCAAAACGAGCCTGAAAAGAAAATGTAACAATGAATTATGTCATCAGTTACGATGAAGTGTATTTCGGGATTTCGGGGTGATCACCCTAACATTATGTGTTTGTTGTAGTGGTGCCGTCCAAGAAGGCGCGTCACCTCAACACGCAGCAACGAGTGCGCACGCGCGAGCAACGTGCAGAGTTGCGCCAGAAGAAGTATCGCTACTTGTACCAGGTGCGCACAGCACACGGGGATGTCATTAGTCAGGTAGGCAACTGGCCCCTCAGAAATCATCACAGAAACTGTAATTCTATGCTGTTTTTATTTTACTTACAGGAAAAACTGTATGTATATTCATGGGTTGTGTAGCGGTAACGCCTGTGGCTCGTATTCGGGAGATACCATCCTACCATTTGATGCTATATAGTCTGGCTATTAACGGTGTCGTGAAATAGCAGTCTCCCAAACAATTACACATTTCAGCCTGCTGTATCAAATTCCTGCCATCATAACATATTTCTCTTAGATTCATTTCAATGTTGTCACGTGTAGCTCGGGGCTACGGGCAGTACAGAACTATCGCTGATTTACACACTTGACAGTTCACCGTTACACACGCACTAGTATCCCCAGTCTTCACTAGCCGCATCCTGGCAACGGATTTCATAAGTCTCACTATCACTTCAAATCACGCATGAAGTCTTCTTTTCACAGCGTAATTCCTTTCTTGTCAATTCTGCTCAATCTCCCCTGACTGCCAACTCTCACAATTCTATTCCTCTACTCCCAAGCTGATATCGTGGCAAGCTAGGGTCACGAAACTCGACTCGATTCTTCTCAACCGAACTCTTCTTTATAACCATTTTGCACGGACCACGCAGAAAACACAGCCATTCTGTGGTTGGGAAGGCGTGTTTACAGCGTCGTTGCATATTCGTTGCCACGGGAATATATTTAGAGAGTCGTTGCCTAGCAATGAACATTTATTCTAACTTCACTATTCTGGCTTTTGGGCGTCATATCACAGTAACGTCACCCTATTCAAACATGTTCTCTTAGCAAGATTATTTTCACTAGGTTCCCCTTGTTACATCCTATTTTCATATAGTCTCCTTCAGATAACTTTTTTAAAATACTAGGAGAGTTCGTATGTCAGAGTATGTCATTATGTAGTGAAACAGATCATCATCGATTCAGGTATGGAGAGCTCTGTGCTTGGACAATAAAGGACACCAGTTTGTCACTCACTTTCAGAAAACCTTCATGTGAGAAATTTGTAGCTAGTAAGGCTTATCCCACGGCTCATCCGTAAAGACCATTGATCGGTTCGCATGTAACAGTGTAGCACGTCTTCGTCACATGCTAACACAATATTCTGCTGTTTGGAGGCATGCACTAATGGACAATTTAAATCCTGCCTTGAATGACTAAGCTGTCAAACATATCCTGTTTCAGAGTTATGTAGAAGCACTTCAGAGGAAAGTGTGCGGTCCAGGACCTGAGTCGAACACCCTGCAGTCCGATTCAACCCACCTCACCATCCTGGCAGCTGACCAGACTCAGCAGTTGACGGCACTCACTGAGTCGGAGGATGATAGCAGGGATCTGTCTGCAGACATAATCCAGCTTGACAGGCGACATCATGACTCAAACCATGGTATCACCAGACCGCCCTACCGATAGTCCTTGCCAGTATCATGAATGAAGTCAGTGTACATCGAAAGTTACCATATCGATAACGTCAGACAGTTAAGGGACAGTGTGTGTAGCAGAAGCTAGAAGTGGTTCAGTTTACAGAACTAAAAATTCCATTAATCTACATACACCGTAATGGGTTAAATAAATGACATGTGAACAGTGTTCTGAGCTGGCACTGTAATAGATAACCGTGAATGCAGAACCATATACGAGTTATCTGTCCAGCAAGAATCCTGGTATGTAATGATCCAAAGAGTGCAAAAACAAGTATAACAAATTAGTACTAGTGCAGAACATAGTGTCATAAGCTACAAGCAGTGTTCACATAACCTCTACAGTACACAAAATCCTCACAAGGAGCACAGACTCTCTTGCTGTTGTGAGAGTAGCAACAATATGTAGCACAATGCAAAACAAGTCCACAATTAACTGGACTGCACAGCAGAGAGAGGAACAGGGACAGAGACCCTCAGTAACCTACTGTTTCCAGTTTTCATATAGACCCACAGAAAGAGAGCAACATCAGCAGTCAACCCATTGTTCTTGCTGTGGAGCAGACATTACTCAACATAAACTAGCCAAGAGGAAATGAGATGTGATATAGGAAGGTCCAAAACACATGCAATCCTGATTTCAAATGTGCATACAGTCAAGAGTCCATTAAACAAAAGTACAAAGCCTCAAACCTTTGTCCCACTCACATTCTCCATGTCTTTCCTCTGTAGAAGCAAAACAAACATAACCTAACTCTTATTAGGCTCTCTAAGGTCAAAAGGAGAAGCGTGGGATTGCTTCACTTCATGTGTCACATTATTACTTACACAGTAACAGCTGATTAGGATCTGCAGTCTATTTGCTTGTAGTTTATTTAAAGTCACCGACAGTAACGTAGGCCGCATAGTACAAAATGGCTAGATGATAGAGAATTGTGAGTCAGGAGGGTGAATAATGAATTTGAAAGGATGTGGGGGGAAAATTCGGTGGCCTACTTTAAGGTACTTGCCCAACATGTGTCTGGAGGGAAAGAGGAAGACAACAAAAACCTGTCAGAACAGTTGGCATCCCAGCCAAGACTCAATGCAAGTCAGAGGAATCACCAATTCAGCCAATTTGCATAGTATGTGGTGATGGGAGCTCTAAGAGCCCTCAACTCATACAGTATTTTCGACCACATATCCCTCATGGAGTGGACAAGTCATCTGGCAGTATCAGCTTACTAAATGGCTTTCTTCAGTTCAACTGTCCCCAGTTAGTTATTGGAGAGGGTGGGTTTCCCCATGCACTTAGACCTGTAGTGGTCCATTGTGCTTCCCTCTATGATTTCTACCAGCCGCTATATCCTACCGGTATTGGTGCTTACCATCAGTCCCACCCAGCCAGCGAGACCAGCTCTCTACTGGCTGAGAAGTATCTATGATGCTTCCCCCATCTACCGGAGGTATTAGTGACTGCTGTTGGGCGGCAAACGTCCGCAATTTTGCTCAGTGACCTCCTTTGGAGGTATGAGGTTCTTTTACGTGCCGCAAAGCTACGACACGGGACCCACGGCTTAAAGTCCCTCCAGGAGGACTTGTTCCCTGAATTTTTCCGCCCTTAAAAATTCGACGACCTCCGCCGGGTATTTGAACGCGCGTACTACGAGTCATGAGGTGGGAACGTTACCTCTAGACTATGGAGGCCGCTGTCCCCAGTTAAGTCTCTCAATTCTATTTCATTTTTACAGTTAATGGTATAAATAAGCAACCACTTCAGTTAGCCGCCACAATTGCTTCTACCCTATCCTTGCAACATACACCATCTTTAACATCATTACTGTCTTCATTGGTCTTACAGTAAAAGCATGAAATGGTGAATTAAATATGCCCATTTGGTGTTAAGGTGATTAGTTACGGCACCTTCCTGTATTTTCTGTGCAATGAAATGGTGTAATCTCACGCGACTTACGTTTAAGCATTCCGTCTCCATAGGTTTCGTCATTCTTGCTTCTGTATGTATATTTCTCGTCTATAATGGAGTAGGTGGACCAAGTGCCTTTTGGAAAACGGTGTTTGAAAGTTAAAATGTATCAAAGCAACCGTGTATGCTCATTACAAATAAATAAATAAATGTATATATATTCAAACATCTATGGCTATATCAAAAATATATATGCATAGAGGGTAAGAAGTCTATTTAAAATGATATAAGTAATATATATTCAAGGTTCTATACATACATAGGCAGCCTAAATAAGATAAGTAGTGAAACTGCAAAACTGTCCACCTTAGCATATGAAATATGCATAAGCTGATACAGATATACACTGCATATGCTGTGTTGCTTGTACAGTTCTCATCTGTGATGTTGGTTGGGAAATGGCAAGTGTCAGCACAGTTATATTAACCTGTAGGGCCAATAATGATGGCATTTTCATGTGTTAACCATTTGTAACGAACCAGTCATGAGGTATACAAAGTAGCCCGAAAATTAACATGAATATATTATCAATGCATATAAATACAACAGAAATATCTAGCAAATATTCGAAAATTCAAATATTTAAGCAGTACTATGTGTGTTTATATATAGCTCAAGTTCATGTCATCTTTCATCACCTTTTGGTTTCTAAATTCTATACATGACCATCAGGGACAACTTGGCATGGGATGAGTTCAGCGCATAAGAGAGATATGTGTTTTTGAAGTCTTCTACACTTCATTTACAAATATCACACACAGTAAATTTTTTTAGTATTTGGGGGCAGTTCTTTCACACAACATAATGGAGCCTCTACGTCAAAAAACGTTCATGGTCATCAAATATTATTAAAAGGAAAGAGTTAAAACTATGGCAGTCATTCAATAGCACGACATTCCTGCTTATGTATTTAGGGATTATTTAACCATGCTGTCAGTATCTCAGAGTATATAGTGTCAAATGGTAGGGTCATTAGTGAATAATGAATTAGAAAACATGTGGAAGGAGGCGGTCATGGACTGATGTAAGGTACTATCCTGTCATTTGCCTGGAGGACCGAAGAAACCCATGAAAAACCTGACTCAGGACAGTTGATGTCCTCACCAAGATTTAAGCTGATCACATTCAGAATACAAGTCAGAAGCATTACCACTGCAGCCAACTTACTCAGTTTCATTAGAATCATACATTATCAGAGAGACATATGTAAGGCTGCTTTTCTTTCCAAAACTCCGCTGAAAACATAACCTCAGAACGACAGAACAGAATTCAGTTACACATAAACAGGTTTATAGGTAACAGAAGCATGTCTCTGATATTTCTAGGAGAAATATTTCAAGTGTGATGTGAGATACTGAGATCATGGGTTTAAAACCATCTGAGGTTACAGCATCTCTTCCTGTTCACATAATCAATTAAAAATCAAATATAACAAGGCAATAAAATGTTACCCATGTGAAGTACTTGTCATATCGAGTGCAGTAGGTCGGTCAGGTTCCCCCAACAGGATGTCACTACACTACCTCTCTACTGAACACTTTCCATCTGACGAGACTAAATGTGAAGTTCACCATTTCTCAATTTTCCCCACAGAAATAGAACTAACATTATCTGAATATCATCAGGAGAGTAATTAAAAACAAAAAACAAAAAGAAAAACAGAAAAAATATGGATAATAGGCACAGAAATGACAATTTTGCTGATGCATTTTGTCAAATTTACTGAAATTAAAAATTATTGGATAATAACTGAAACAAGAGCCAGCAGGTGATTGCAAAGTTTGTTATTCTATCAGTAAAATTTGTGGTTGTGAATTAAATATTCCCTTTTCCTATCTATCAGCAATTCCGTAGCCCACTAATCTTCCTTTCTTCTTGTAACATATTCATATTAAAACTGTTTTCTCTATGACATGAACAGATTCACGTCATTAATGTAAGTTAGAGCGCCATTTCTAGCTGCACAAACGGAAGCAACCCATGCAAGCTATTGTTTGCGAGTCACACACAGATGTCCAGAACTCACCCACATCTCCTGCTTATTTCAGACTGTAGAAGATGCAGGGACACAATCACTTCGTGAAGTTTGTAAAAGAAATATCATTACCGCAGAATGTTTCATCACTAGAAGACTGGAATAAAAGTAAGTTCACTGTCTGATAGCATGTGGCAACGGAATGTCACGACACTAGCCAGTGATGGACATCTGTGTGGACACATCAGGACTGTGGTACCAACAAATTCTTTACTTAATTCACTCAACATTCGACAGACTCCAGCCAAAGTACAGACCAGTATTGTCTGAATGACTAAATGTAATATTGAATTCTTGGTTACAAAAATGTCAGAGTTTGAAACTGAATCCAGTTAACTTAACATTATATTTTTCCATCCTTCTGTAGGAGTGGAAGATATTCTGCAATTGTGTTATTTTGTTTAATCATTCATAGTGTCACTGTGCACTTGTTGGCACTATGATGGCACATCTTTCAATCTACAATTCACCATCATCACATGTGTAATATGCGAGATGCAAGGACAAACTTAACATTAAGCGAAGTATAATCCAATATGATGCTTCAGTGTAGAATTATGACCTAAACTCAACACTGCACACTATCATGAGCTACTCCCACCCACCGCTTATCCTTACAACCTACATCTCCTCAGTCTTCCAAGTGGCTGATCCAAACAGGTTTCTAAATGCAAATTTGTCTTTGCAATCTTATCTACATACAAATCCCACCAGAGTCCTAGATTTTTCTAACCTGACAATACTGAATGACCTGCATAAATCATGATGTTATTCAGTATGTAATATCTAAAGTGAAACGTAACTTTACCTTTCTTAAGTCCATGCCAATATATCTCTTTACAAAAGCTACAATTCAGTATATTATGTTTAAAAAATATCGTGGGAGACATGTTCATTTATGTTACATTATCCTCAAGAAGAAATTTCACACATCTTTGTAACGAATCTCACAATGAAAATGGTGGATTCAATGTGAGGCACCAGAGAAGTATCTTGCTACAGGCAGAAATATGCAGTAATTAGACAGGCCTGTTATGCACCCACTAGAACCGCATCTGCTATTTCAAATCAGTAATATAATACAGACTCGATTTTTGTTCCTTTATTGAACTAGTTGAGAAAAACAATTCATCAAGAAATTGAGGAAGTCTGACATTTTCTCACTTTCAATAACACCAAAGAGTTCTGCCATCTGGAATATAATACTGTGTAGTCCACAAAAGTCAACCATATGTGACTTGACTACGCAGCATCATATCTCGGAAGACAGAACTCTTCAGGGCTATTTCTGTGAGAATCCCAAGTTAATCTTTCATGAACACTTCACTGCCTAGCATGAAAGCATGACGCAGGTTAGGATATCAGAAGATGCCAAGAAATAAGTACAAGCACTGTATGGTGGTGCAAATATATCTGGAAAACAGCAATGCCAACATGGTGACCAAATAATTAATATTTTGCTTTGAATTTGGCAGGCGCCTGGTACCAGTTATTCTGAGTAAAGGACTGAATTACTTTCTTTGTCTCGTCAGGTGACTGGTAGAAGGGGACCTTCCATATCCTGTCTTCCACTCTCATTCCAGGCAGCCACCTCCCAATATGTCCACAAATATTTCTAATCATCCTCACTCATTTTTCCAATCAATACTGGAT